TCGCAAACAGTTTGCTTGGAAGATAACGGGCCGTTAATCATTTTAGAAAACATATTACTGATCTCGGTTTTATTATACATAGATTCTTCTATGTAGCCTTGTGCCACGGCATCACTTTTCCAACCTCCCAACCGTCTTAAGGTTGTCATATTTGCACCTGCATCCACCAATATCGTAGCTGAGCTCCTCCTGAAGCTGTGCCCAGTGTAATTTTTATAATCTTCCAGCTTTAAAAATTGTGCAATTTTCTGCGGCACTTTGGCAATTTTATTTTTGCCTATAACCTATAAACAATAAAACATAATATAAGTAGCAGTATGTAATATTGTCGTATTTTTAAAACCACTAATTTTTTGATAGTTAAGTTCTTAGATAATTGCAAAAAATATATTATACCTGAACAGTACATTTTCCTGATTGGTAATTTAAAAAAAATCGGTCGGTGGTGACATTTTTCGGACGGAGGTTTATATATTTTTCTAAATACGAGCTAAATTGCTCGGGAATAACAAACGATCGCGGATTCAAGTTTTTCGTTACACGAACTTTGAATAAATACAGGGAACCTTGGCGTTCAACATCTTTGGTAGTTACCTTGACCAGTTCATCTCCACGAAGAGCTCCAAATATCCCAAAAATTGCAATGACCTAAATACATAGTTTATAAATTAAAAAACTAATTATTTACTTATTATTAAAAACACTTATTAGATTGTTATTAAAAACATAATTATTTGTTTAATATTAAAAAGAATTATTTAATTATTATTAAAAACAAAATTATTTAAAATAATTTTCTTTATATTAATTTAGTAGTTTTAAATAATTTTCAAAATAACTAAATGCACTTTTAACTATTTTATACACTGAAAAAAATACATGAGACATTTTCAACTACATCCCCTTAGTAGAGTAAAAAGTAATAAAAAGAACTACTTTTTTAGTTAGTCTGACTACTTTTGATACTTATTTTAACTGTTTTATGTAGTTAAAAATTATTAATTAAATTAATGTAATTTTACAGTTAACTTTGTAACTGCAGGTATGTTACAGAAATGACTACAGAAAGTAGTAGATTCTACTACTTAAAGTAGTTCGATAGACTAATTTTGTAGTAGTTTTTACTTCTTCTAGGAGTTAAATAATTTTCCATGTAATTTATGTTATAGGTTTTTATAGAAGATTAGCAACTATGAAAAGTTGTAAATGCAACTACTTTAAGTAGTAAAATTAACTACAGTTATCAGTTGAACTGTGTCAGGAATGCCTTTAAGTATTAAGCAAGTCATCGTAGCGGGCGAGCGTGGTTAGGTGGTTAGGTTATCGGTTTGCGAATGTTAGGGTCGAGCGTTCAACTCCCGACGTTTAGAGATTTTTTCTCCGTTAGGTATATTTACATTAAATATATAAGGTACAGGTATAAAAGTGGGTACGGAAAAATATGAAAAATACAACTCGATAATATTTATAATAAATTATAAATAATGTTATTTTACCATTTTAAGTAGTTGTCTTTACTACTGAGTTATCTTAGTAACTTTAACTACAAATCAGCAGTTAATTTTACTGTAAAACTGTCATTGGTTCCTATTTAACTAAGAAAAGTAGTTTGTGCAACTGTATTATCACTTCATTCAACTACATGTCTAATAATAAACGTAAGTTCAAAAATATCTTTGGGGACTTATTGAACTAAGAAAAGTAGTTAAAAAGTAGTCAAATTTACTAAGAATTTTTTTCAGTGTATTTTTTTATTGTTCTGTTGCACGTAAATAATATTTACTAGTGTTTATATTTTATGCATGTTACACATTTTATATCTATATATTTATTTATTAATTATTTTTATATACTATATTTTTATATTTTCATAGATCTTATATTTTACCCAGATAACAATCGTGCGTCGCATTTAAACGCATGTTTCTTGCACTAACTGCGACTTACCAGATGAGTCGGTTCATATACGCATCTTACTATCGTCTGTGACGCTGGTAATAATGCGAGTGTTGTGAACTGCATTTCGTAAGCGCCTGTGATACAAAATGATAAGCATGTTCCGTTCACAAGTGCGACTTGCTAGAAGAGTCAATCCATACGCATTTTACCATCCACAGTGCGAATGCTGTGAATGCGTGTGCAGTGAACTGCACTTAATACGCACGCAATTAATGATGCGCAACCACCCGTATCGGCAATCACACATTTTATAATGGCGACAGCATTGTTTGTGGTGTGTTATCAAAATAAGTTTTTATTGTGATTTCATTTTTTATTGTTTTTTATTGCGATATTATTGTGAGGAATTATTGTGGATTTAATTTTTAGTACTGCAGCAAAATAAGAAAGTTAAATTTAATTTGTTTAAAGTACATATATATTTTTGTTGTATTAGATATAACCTCAAAAAAAGAATTTGGAAGTTTTTAACAACTTCAATTCCAAAATTGTACTGAAATATTAAATTAAAATCGTTTTTATAAATAACATTTTAATTTAAAAAAAATTACTAATGTCAATAATCTTTTCTTTTTATTTAATTCAAATAAGGCTGAAGTATAAATAGAATTTATTCGCATTATACCGTCACGCATGTGCCCATCACAATATGCGACAGTTATGGATCGCATATGATGACGCATCTGAGTGGTCCAGTGAACGCGCATAGTGCGGATAAATCGGCACGCGTGCAGATGATATTAGTAGCACACAACGCGCATTTTGTTATCTGGGTATGAACACATTTTAAATCATATTTTTCAAATAAATGTAATGAAAGCGAATTAAAATATGATTATAATAGAATTTCACTGATAAGTGTAAATTTTTGTATAATTTTATCAATTTTACCTTTTTATCCAAGTCATGAAGATCGGGAGCATCGTTGAGAAAAGTTTGTATTTCGTTAGCAGAAAATACTTTGGGTTTTTTGCATAGTAGCCATGGTTTTTTTGCTTTATAAACGCTTGAGTTTCGACATATTTCTGGATATCTATTTTTTCATTTAGGTTTATCATCGCCTTTAACATCGAAAATTGTGAAAACAAAGTGGGTGGTTGGTAATGCTCTGATAAATGTTTAAAATATGCCAAAATAACTTGTTCGTTGGTTTTTTCAACTTTTTTTGATTTCTTCCACTTAACGTACACATCGTAAATGTTTTCATAGATTTGTCTTGACTTTTCTGGTAGAATTTCATTCAATGCAGAATCAGCAATTTCTGCAATTTCAGGTGGCACACCATCGATACAATTTTCACTATCACTCATGTTTAACTTTAAAGACGATAACCGGCGACGCTTGGGAATCAGAATACAGAAGCAGCCATTTGCAATTTTCCGAATCGCGTTCATTCACGTTATATACGGTTTCATCCGAGAATACTCGAATTCTCCCGAGCGTGTAACGTGAATCGGAGGCGATTGGTTGCTTTGAATTGAGAAGCTACTACCCGTTCAGCATTATTTGTCCCTGCTAAAACAGATATTGTCCTGATCAAAAATACATGCGCAGAGGTAAAAAAGCAGCATTTTTGACGAGAACATTCATTTTTACCCAGCTTTTTTTCCCTAGGGAGAAGAAGAATCTTTTTTCGCCGTCAGTGAAAAATGAGTTAGTTTACGCCCTTTTTTGACGCATGAAAAAGTGCCATTTTCGTGCCTGAGGGATAAAAAATAATTTTGAAGAATTATTGGCGATTCAAACAGTTCAAGCAGCGCCACTGTTGGAACTAATATATGCAGGACAGCTGGTCTATGTTTCTGTTTGTTTACTTAAACTTTATAATTATTTTAATAAATAAACTGTATATTATACAATTAAATAAATTATTTTATTAAAATCATTACAAAGTTTAAGTAAACAAACAGAAACATAGACCAGATGTCCTGCATATATTAGTTCCAACAGTGGCGCTGGTTGAACTGTTTGAATCGCCAATAGTAAATTCTTTAATATCCGAGTGGTTTTAATAATAAGACAGAAAAAACGAAGACATTCAGACAAAGATTTCTTGAATGTTACTCCAACGTTAACGAAATCCACAGATTTCCTCTTCAGGGAGTCAATTTAGCAACAGTCAGAACTTAAATTAGTTATAAATAAATTAAAATTCATCAGAAAAATAAAAACATCACATATTCTTATAATATAAAATAATGATTTTATCACTTGGTCATCTTCATGTTTTATAACAATATTCTTATAAATTGTTGAATTTTAAAAGGTTTGGATTTGTAATTTTTAAATATCTTAATTCTTATGGAAAAGTAATACTGATTAAATATTTATTTAAAAAAGAAGTTGTTGATGTTTTCAAATAATTTTACAATTAAAGAAATTCGTAAATAAATGTAATAAAACATTTTTTCTTGAATATCAAATCATTTTTAGAGTGAATCAGAATATTCTTTAGGATCAGGGGAAAAGTCAAAATTTTGTTTTCAAAACAGGGAAAAGTCAGGGAAAGCAAAATTAAATTTTTGTGACAACCCTATAATAGCGAATTTTAAAATCCTCCAAATACAGTTCTTAACAGAAAAAAAAGATTATAAATATCGCTGAAAAAACATGCAGTTAATTTTGACAGATTTAAAAATTTCAAGAACAATAAAAACTGATAAAAACAAATTCAAAGGATCGAAAAAGAGTTGATACAATCTCATCTCACTCGCACATGATGGCAAATGTGTGTCACTTCAAGTGAAGAATTTTTCTTAATCTTTCCTCTTTTCTTCTCCAGTCAAATATATTTAAATCCCATAGATAATAATCCGATGGAGGTTTCAGATCTGAAGAGAGAGAGAGAGAGAGAGAGAGAGAGAGAGAGAAGAGCAAGGGGTTTAAAAGGACCCATATACATATACATTGATATATACCAGCGCGGGATAGATGGAAAGATAAGTCTGAAGTTGGGTGACCAGGGTGATGAAGGGGAGTTCAAAAGATAGGGATTGGAAACAGAGAGAAGGAGTGGGGGAAATACGCATGGTTTAGCTTTAGCCGTCGATGCCATTAGGGTCGAGGCCAGTGTTGCAGGAACACCTCGTTTTTCCCCTGTATTTCTCTTAAATTATTATTCTATTTACAAAATTTTATTTAAAAAAAGCTTGTTATTAGATATATTTTCAAAGAGTGTTTGTTAAATTATAAAATTTCGTTGTCATCTTCCTGAAAAGGAAGACGTCTTTCGATTATGGTTGTCTCCAGTGAAATTGATTTTCATCTTCAGTGTAGTCCATCGTTTCTGAAACATCATTTTTGCATAAAGAGTAAATAATTCTTTTCCATTTGGTAACTTTTTATATTACTTTGTTTGCATACTTTACTTTCTTCTATTGGAAAATCTTCTCAGGAAGAAATCACTAAATCGTGTCTTGGTTTTGTTTTTTGTTACAATTTCTATTCTTGAATACTAATTGTAACAAACGACAAAGGCAAGACAATTGGAGTAACTAATTGATTTTTTTTTGTTATAATTAACAATTGTGGAAACTAATTATAACAAAAAGTTAGCATAATTGGAGTCACTTCAATTGTGCTAATTTTTTTGTTGTAGTTTGAGAAAATAATGTTGGTAAGAAATAGTTGTAACTAATTTTGTTTTGCTATAATTATTATTTGTGGAAAGTAATTATAACAGAAAAACTTAAGATAATTAGAGTAACTATAATTGTAACCAATTTTTGTTTTGGTTATTGTTTGTAAGAACTAATTTTTCTTGTCATAATTATTATTTACAATCACTAAAGAAACAAGAAAATTAAAGTAATTTAAAGAAAAACTTTAAATACAAAACAACAAACAATTAAAAACATTTTAAGCACGCTTTTTCAGAAATAATGTATTTTAGTACAAAAAATCATTTTTTGAAAAAGAATCAATTTTATTTAAGAAAATTTCGTTTTATTTTTCAGGATGAAACTTTTGTGAATTGAATAATAACCCCCACAGCACCGAAACTTTCCTAAAAATTTATTAAATATTTACTTGCAATATTCGTCATATTTAACTGAAAAGTTTAGTGAAAATTGTGTAAAGATTTAAATGTCCCGATTAAATAAATGTTTAGCGCGAAGCTTTCCTGAACATTTCAATAAAATCTTCGCATAATTATAATTATAATTATGTTCAGGAAAGCTTCGCGCTAAACATTTATTTAATCGGGACTTTTAAATCTGTACACAACTTTCAATAAACATTGCAATTAAATATTCCGAATATTGCAAGTAAATATTTAATAAATTTTTAGGAAATTTTCGGTGCTGTGGGGGAATTAATTTTGTTTAATTTATTTTTGAAGTTAAATGTTGTTTAATTTTTCAGATCGAATTCTGTAAGTGTTGAAAAATAATAAATTTTGGTATTTAACTTTTTCAGGGGAAGATGAGGAGTGGAGTGACTCGGAGAAGACGCCGTCCGTGAGCAGCGGAGTCGAAGGAGGAGGATCGGCAGTCTCGAGTCCCTCGGCACCAGCTGTTGAGGAGGATTCGAGTTTACCACCTCCACCGAGACTCAATTCCGTTTTACCTGTGATAACTCCGAATTCCGTTACCGAGGACATCCGGTTACGATTTAGCGTACTCTCCGAAGATGCGAGGAAACGACTCTCTAGTCTCACCGAGGATATTGAGGTCAGTCTTCTTCTTGACTTTATCTTGTTCTTTTGTTATTTTTTTTCACCGAGGTTATTGAGATCAGTCTTGTTGTTATTTTTCTTCTTGTTCTTTATCTTGTTCTTCTTTTTGTTACTTTTTTTCACCGAGGATATTGAGGTCAGTCTTCTTCTTATGTTTTTTATTCTTTTTGCTTCCTCATAAAGGAAGCCTTATAGTGATGTCGATTTCCGAATTTTTTAGAATCAATTATTTTTACAAATTTTCAAGTGTAGTATACATAATTCGTCGAGAGGAACAAATGTCCGGATGTATGTGTGTATGTGTGTGTGTGTGTGTATGTATGTCACCGATTCTTGTGGACAAATTTTCTCTTACATGTCTTGACGGATTTTGATAAAATTTTGTAGGTGTATTACGGTCACGAATACCAAAAATCAGACAAAAGGATTTTCAAAAATATCTAAAAAAAAAAATTTTTTCAACAAATTTTTTAATTTTTGAAAAAATTAATTTTTGGATTTTTTGAAATAACTTTTTTCTATATTAAAATTTTTATTAATTCTTGTCAAAATTGCATTCCTGACATAAAAACGAATCGATTCATGTATATAAAGTATATATTTTATCAAAATTTATAGAATTAATAAATATTTTAAATTTTCACAAAAAATTGAAATTTTGTATTTTTTGACATTTTATCTTAACACTTTAAAATAATTATTCTAAAATAAAAAATTAAACAATTAGTATATATTATATTGAGGAAGCTTAATGATCATGAAATGAACAACTTGTTTTTCTCCATCTTGTTCGTTTGTTACTTTTTCTTGTTTTCATTCTTCTTGTTGTCTGTCTCTTTCTTTTTCTTCTTGTTCTTCTTCTTCTTCTATTATTGCTTCCTCATAGAGAAAGGATTGTATTAGCAAAATTTTCGATTGTGATTTTTTGACATATTTATAAACTTATTTTCATTAAATACCTAATCTTTTAGTACTTTATGTACGAATGGGTACACAATTTATAAATAAATAAAGATTTCGATGTAATTTGACTTCAGAAGTCCAAAAAACGGATTTTAAAAAATGTCCTGATGTGTGTGTGTACTAACATTACATTTGCCTCAATATCTCAGAACGAGAATGAAAGAGCTAAAGGCTTTAATTTTTCTTTAAATCGTAGGTCTTCCCGGGAGACATAAAATGAGAGTATTTTCAGTCCGATTTATAAAGTTTAACTTTATTTTTTTTGCATTTTTCATTTTGTAAAAAAACATTTTTTGGCCATAACCAAAAAAAATGTTAAGACACCTATAAATGTTTTTCTTTAATTTTGTAGAGATTTTTCAGACGTTTTTTTAGCCTTCATTGAACATTTTTCGTCCATATTAGCCAGAGATATTAAAGTTTTAATAATCTAAATTTTTCGAAAATAATACTTTTTTGAAAATTTTGTTGAAAAATGTAAAAGTAACTTTAAAAATATCATTACCAACTTGAAGAGCATTAAAAAACGCTTTGATTGACTTATTTTTTAACCCGATTCGGGCAGAAATTATGAAATTATTGGTATTTGAAAAATCAAAAATTGTGGAAAATATCATTTTTTCAACAATCTTGTTTATTAACTTATATGTAATTATTAAACTATTATGACCATCTTATCGAATATGTAAAAACACATTTTTTGGACCAAGGTTTAATGATTTTTAACCCTTTTATAAAAAGTAATTCTTATATTTCAATTATTATTATTTCTATAAGGAAGGAAAGTGTTCATGAAATGAACACCAAAATTATAAAAATGTACAACTTGTACAACTTCTTCTTGTCTTCTTTTTTATTTTATTATTTTTTTTTCTTATTGTTCTTCTTGTTCTTTTTCTAGTTATTCATCTTTTTTTCTTCCTCAAAACACAAAAATTCCGTCCCCTTCGTCGTATATTTACAATTTAATCCCTATTTTTGAAAGAAAGAGTAAACACCAAAAATGTAATTATTATTCTCACCGGTATATTCTTGGAATAAATATAATTCTTGTTCGAATAATAAATACACTTTTATTCGAAAAAAATACAATTAGGGAAAAAATGTAATTAACCCTCTTGCCCGTATTATTTCCTTTTATATAGAATGAATAAATAATTCTCGTTCATTCGAATAATAAATACATTTATTCTAAAAAGAAGTGTTTATAAATTTCCCTAAAATGTATCATTAAGAGACATTATTATTTTTGACAATCCAAATATCCTGCTTGAATTTAAATGTACAAAATTCCTCCTTTTTTGAATCGAGTAAATTTTTTCAAGTCTATAATATTGTACCAGTGTGGTCACTTTTAAAAAGGAATATTTTTTATTTAAAATGTCCACATTATCTTTGGGTTAAAATCTGGTTTTAAAGTTTTCTTAATCTTCATTTTGCTGATAAAATCTGAGTTTATTTCAAAATCACAGGAAACAGATGTCTTGTAGTTTGACAATAATGGTATATATAGAAAATTATCTCGACCTCAAGTATATGATACGCATCTTAAAATTTCTAATCAGATAAAAACTACTCTGCAACCAATTTTCTTCTCCAACAAGATTACCATCTGTCATTATAGGTTTTCTCTCTCAATTGTCTTGAAATTCAAGTTTTGCTTTGGATAACTTTTCGAAATCGTGAAAAAAATCATCCTTTTGCTATTTTTTGATAAATACTTTTCTAATTCTTTGTCCCTATAACTTATTTAATTTTCCTTCTTATTTTTTTGTTTAGATTATGGTTTGGAATGAATAAATTTATAATTCTACTCTATAAACAAAAACCCTATCCTTTATTTTTCTTTCTTATTTTATATTTTTCATTTTATTTGGTGAAACTATATTCTTGCAAGAAAAATGGATTTTTTTTATTTTAAAAAATAAGATTTTTGTTAAAAATGTAATAACATTTATAACTTTCATAATTTCAATCTGAAATAATTTAATTCTTGCATTTTATTTGAACTTATAGAATTTTATTAAAATTTTTGAAAATAAGTCAATTCTTTAAAAGAATTCGCGCGCGGCTGACTTATTCTCACTCACTTTTTTTAAATAAAATTAGCAATTTTTTAAATAATAGAAAGTTAAAATTTTTAATTCTTTCTTTTTATAATTATAATTATAATAATATTAAAACTATAGTTTTAATATTATTATAATTATCATATATTCTGACATAGAGAATTCAGGGAAAAGTCAGGAATTTTTATTCAAAATATACTGAAAAAATTTAAATTTTTAGATTTCATAAGAAAATTCTGAATTTTTGTGTCTTTTTGTTTGACTGTCATAAAATAAATAAATTATCTATTTAATGAATAATTTTACTTAAATATTTCAAAATTAATTCAATTTTAAAAGAGTTGCGTTTACAATTTTCATAAATAAATAAACTTCAAACGGTTTCAATTTGAAATTTTATAAGACTTCAATGTTGAATGAATAATATATATGGGCAATTCCACGTGAGATTTAAGTCGACCTCTTTAAATCGGCCAAAAATATTTTTTTTCTATTCTGTATCGAAAAAAACAGATACGTATTTTTTTATTTATGTTTAATTGTCCAAATTTTCGAGTTATGAATTTTCGAAAATTTGGACTTTTAATTGTAGACCTATATTCAGTAGCTTATAAGTCCGAAAATATTGAGTTTAGGAAAAAGTTGTCAAAGAATGAAAGTTTTAGTTTTCTTTCAACTTTTAAGGAATGTAAACAAAAAAATTTTTTTTTTAAATTTTTTATTAACAAAAATTTTTTTTTCTAAACAAATTAATTTTTTTTAACTTTGGGCCGGATTTTTTTTATTATTTTTTTATTTTTTTGTACCTTATAATATAGAGAGGATTTTCCAAAAAGTCCCGAAATGGGCCTGATGTGTTAAATGAGTTTTAAAATATTTTCAAAAATCACTTGCAAGCATCACAGTGGGATTTTTTTTTACATTTCACTTTTTAAAACTGTTTACAGCGTAGACCCTTTCATTTAAAACAAAGAACACTCAAATATATTAAAAATTATACCTTGTAGACAGTTTTAGAAAGTTAATTGTAATCATTTAACACATCAGGTCCATTTCGGGACTTTTTGGAAAATCTTCTCTATATTATAAGGTACAAAAAAATGAGAAAAAAATAAAAAAAAATCTGGCCCAAAGTTAAAAAAAATTAATCTTTATAAATAAGATCAGACTTTTGTCTGTACATTGCATAGAAATTGAAAATTCCTATTTAGTTTTTCTATTCAAGTAGTAAGAATTCCAAAAATGCCAATAAAAAAAATTATGTATGTATGTATGTATGTCTGTGTGTATGTATGTATGTATGTATGTATGTATGTATGTATGTCCGCGATATTTTGTCCGGGATAAACACAAAGACTACTTGACCGATTAAAGCGAAACTTTATAGTCTCTTAGGTATTAGTCTAACTTAAATTTATAGCCATATCCGATTGGAAAATGTTAAGCTAAACGAAAGTTATAGCTTTTTTCACAAAATTCAAAAAATCAAAAAAATGCAAATTTTTAAATTTTTTGTCAAATTGATGTGACACTTTCTGTAGTTACTTTTTAATATAAATACAACTAATTTTCACTGTAAAAATGAAAAATAAATAATATGTTCGAGTTTTTAAGACAAAATCATATTTTTGATTTTCGACAAAATTTTTAATTAATTTTTTTTTAATATTGTTTAATTTTTTATTAAGTTGGTAGTGATATCGGTTAATGTTTTTAAATTTTTAATTACATTCGTTACATTTATTTTATTAAAAAGTTTAGAGTCATGAATTTGATGTCGATTACAAATTTTCTAAAATCAATGAACGTGAGTTTGCAAAAAATTTCTATATTGATATTTTCAGATTTTAAGTTTGAAAATTTTATAGCACGTATTTTCATATTTCATTTAACGTAGAAAATAAAATATATGTATATGTTCAATATAAAGGGTACAGTAAGAGCATCAATAAAACTGAAATTT